ACGTAAGCATCTAATTGGTACTCAATCTGTTGAATGTCATTTTTGGGATCGATGGAACGTTCATCTTTCGACATTGAAATTCAATTCATCTGCGGGACGTCGAAATTGTAAGGGATGGGTAGGGCAACCTTTTGGATAACCTATCCGTGCACCGACCTACTTTCGGTTCTTTTAACTAATTCAATTTCTTCGACATCGGAATTCGATGAAGTCGCCATCCGTTCCTTAAAGGCTTATTGAATCATGAAATTCACATTTATTCGTTTCGCTCGTCGATGTTTAAGGGACATTGAAACCTAGAGACAGTCCTGATGGTAATGAAATTACGAGACTCGATCCAAAGTATAGTCGAAATTCCGTTGTATGAACCTCTGTTGTGTGAATTTGTCCAAACAGTATGCCATTCGAAGTTTCTATAACTCGCACTGAGCGTATATTGGTTTATACACATTTGTTTATAGAGTCAATATTATTCTAATCGCAACATTTTAGTAGGAAATTGACGGTGGACGTGATCAATAAATGAATTATAGTGAACTGAATAGAATATCATATTAGTATAGCATTTAAGAAATTACTACAATCATTATTTAATAAAAATGTTTTCATAAAGAATCTTGGAAGCATAGCTAAATAATGATTTCACTTGCTTTTAAAGGAAGTTCTATCAAAAGATTAAGTCAGCTAAACAACTTGTTAAAAACGACAAAATAGTTAGAAAAAAGTGATTAAGGTTACATTATAGATATCGTATAAAACAATATATCTTTGGCATAATAAAATTTTCTTTTCTATGAAAAAAGAGCGCACATCGTTATAGTTCTTCATGAATTCGGATTGCAGAGGTTCTTCAGTAATTTCATTTTTCGTGAATTATTAGTTATTACGTATTGTTACATCACCATGGTATTATTTCTACTAGAATCGCTAGGAAGAAAATATGTAGATCGAGAAAAGAATTTGAGATCGCGCTATAATAATTACACTCTGTTTAATATCCTGGCGCCAAGTTATCGTTTGTTTCGAGTTCCTACACAATTTCTTGGACGGAAAAGGGTTTTCGACAGGGATTCATTTCGTTTGGCTTGCCTAAAGAGTCCCTAGAGTATTTTATACTTTTCCTACGAAGCTTTGTATAACAGCTTATTAGAAGACGATAGAACTGTTAAAGTCTATAGTAAGTGAATATAGAGTATGAATATATGTATATACTGGCGACAACAACTAGAAATCTTATCCATTTCGACCCAACATTTATATCTGAACTTGAAACTTGCAATCTAAGCAATTAAGTAATATCACGAAATTTCGTTCACTATTACTATTGTATCATTCTACGTTTATAAGCAACCTGTATGATTCTATCATCTAAGATATTTTATTATCTAATTAGGTAATCTCAGAAAACTATTGTCCTATAAGTCCTAGTTCTATTTGTTTTACAACACCTCTATACGACATCTAATACTACATTTAATCTTCTAAAACACAATTAAACACAGTTTAACTAATTTTTGTATTATTTAACTGTTACATTAATTTAAATCTACACTAGTATTGTCTACTATCGTAGAAATATTTGAAAGTGCTGCTCGAAGAACGATACTACATAAGCAAAAATTAATGAAGTAAACAATATCAAGAGAGGATCTTAGAAAGTTTTATAGTACAAGTTTATCACAAGAGTCATGACTAGAAAAGATGTATATTTCATATTGAACACATTATACCATTTGAAATTTCATATTTTAGAGAAGACTATAATTTATTATAATTCCTACAACTTTTTTCTATGTTTTTTTTGAATATTGAATTGAAGAACACTCAATTAGTAATATAGTTCTATTTGTAATACATATTTCGTGTCGCTGGTGTTAATTTCATTAAAGATCACATGGAACGATCAGTATAATTACTTAACTATTTTAATTAATAACAATCTCAATAGGTTTTTGGCATCTTTAGTAATGAAAATATTCTGACGAAACATAAATTCCAAACGTAAAAGTACACGGTGGTTGAGGCTACAAATCGTAACAGGGTAGATTTTCCAATCAAAACTTTGACCTTAAATTTCGAACTCGAAGTGTGTGTGTGTGTGTGTGTACTCGCAAGTTCAGCCATTGACACCAGGGGACACTATCTAATTGTTTAACTACGTTATATCGTAACACCGGATATACTCGACGTTGAATCGAAACGGCGAGCCTCTGGTGCACAAAGTACACACGGTGAGCCCCACTATACGAATCGCATCTAGCTATGTTGAAGCTTCCGAAACTTCGCGTGGAACCATGTATAAATTACGAACTATTAGGAGAAAGTTCTAAGTTCAAATCTAATTCTGTTTAAATTGTTCTCGGTTACAATCCCAAAGAGTGGATGTGTGAAATAAATATTTATAGATTCTTAAAAGTCAGTGAATGGTTGAATAAGAATATTATCTATGAATTCATTTAAATTCATTTAAATATATTTAATTCTGCTGTAAGATATAGTGATTAGCAAAAATGATCCTAAAACTCGAATGAAGTCGATTAATGAAACAAGGAAGAGTATGGAATTATGGCAGATAACCGTAGAATATGAATTAATCGGAGTTAATCAAATCTGTATTTATGGAAAGGGGAATTCCCAAATGAATGTTTAACAGAAATTAGCTGAAATTGAATTTTCTATCTGATCTAAGGTTACATTACGTAATGTACTCAGAGCACATCTCGTAATATACAGAATATTCGAGGTAATTGGACAGAGATCAAATAATCATAGGTGCAGGAAGTTGTAGAGCAAGATTAAATGATCTTAAATTATTTTAAATTATATACTGAAGTAGTGCACTGTTTATTCTGATTAAATGGAATTAAGGAGACACGAACGAATTATGAATTCAAGGAGAATATCAGTAGGCACAGCCGAAAGTCTGAGGCTGAACAATTTTTACGATCATAATGATCTCAATAGTATTTCAATAGCTTATGGAACAATAACTGTATCTACGAAACCTACAATTTTATTTCGCGGTGCTTGAAGATAGGAAAAATACTGTCAGAGCTATATAGTGACATTAATGCCCTTTTATAAATGGAGGCCTAAAGGATTTTCTGGTGTCCTTCTAAGATATTCCTTAGTTGAATTCTTAAACTACAGTTTATGCCTTTCAATTTCTAAATAACTATGATTTTACCTAATCTTAAACATAAATATAGTGTAAGCAAACTGAGTATTAGGTACAAGATATATTGATATACGAATTATATTTACATGAAATAAGATATAAAAATAGGAGCATTATTCATGTCACAATTGAATCGAAAATAAAAAGTCATTTTTCACAGCCCTGTAATGTAATTCACCAGGTTTGTAATATCATAGTTTGTAAATATTTTAATGCAACTGATTAACTGTGACCTACAACTTTTTTATATATGTAATGTATGAATAATTATGTTATATAATTCATTCGTCAGATATTCAATAGAATTTGAAAATGTTTTTTTCTAATATCTCGAATGTTGGAATTCTTTTCCTCTGAAGATTTCCAGCATTTCTGATAAAAAAAAATGTATCACTATATGATACACGCGAACGTATTAAAAATATGAAAAATATTCGATATAAAGAGAATTTGTAGATATTAGGCCATCTATTTAAAATTTCTTCTAAATGTTGTACAAATAAAAAAACACTACAAAGCTTCTACGTACAAAAAATACGATGAAATCTTTGTAAGTTTTAGTTCACAGTTTCTCCCTACAGTATTATAGTTATTGTGTGTTCGAAACATCAATATTGCTATTTAAAATTTCGACAGTTTTTTTCAATATTCGTGTATACGTAGTAAAATATTAGTAATAAAAAACATACGTGATTTTACTATAAAATGTTATACTTTGGAAGTAATGAATTCATAAAAATATTATGTCTAATATACTTTTCCTTTTAAACCGAACGATTATTCCGCACCTTCAATAATTGAAACGTTAACTCCGTGTATACAGGGTGTCCTGAAATAGTTGTAAGTTCTTGGAAGGGGGATTCGTGGGGTGATTTGAAACAACTTTTTCCTTAACGAATAAGTTCTCCGAGGCTTCGTTAACGAGTTATTAACGAAAAACCCCCATTGCGGCAGACTCGCGCACTGATTGGTCGGGGTTTTTCGTTAATATCTCGTTAACAAAACCTCGGAGAATATTTTCGCTAATTGTTTCAAATCACCCCGGGAATCACCTCTTTCAAAGACTTCCAACTATTTTGGGACACCCTGTATATTAAAATCTGGTATACGAAGAATTCATTAAATACCCCTAAAGCTACAGAAACTTTCACAAAAAATTCGTACATTTCCGATACAACAACTACCAAACATCATGCTTAAACAACAACAATACTACATCTATTCAGAATCAATTCTTCCCTTCAGAATAACCATTAAATTCTCCAAAACTGGTAGATCGTTCAGATCACCAGTACAAACAGAAGACTTCTACGTACTATCATTAAAAAAAGTCTGAATCAGTATAAATTATTTATAAACCTCGAAACTGGCTATACTTTCCTAAAAGGGAAAAACACGTCGACCACAGCGATCGTGTAAAACCGTCCGAAGGCAAGAGGGGAAATCGATAGAGCCCGTTCAACAGATTAATTTCTAATTTCTACGTAAACTGGCGCCAGGAGAACTATCAGCGATATATCGACCACCTATCGGAGGTGCCTATCGTCTAAGATTTCCGCGACCTGAGTGCCGACAGGGGATTCAGCCGCCGTCTCGGCGTGCTCTCGGTCGAAGATGCAGAGCTTTTGTTTTTGGCGGTTTTCGACTTACTCTTCTCCTTGCTAGACGTGGCCGTCGTGGAGGGTTTCACGGATTTCCCGGGTTTAGTCGCGACAGTGTCCTGCGAGCTGGTGCTCGTGGACACCGACGGGGGTGGTGGTGTCGGTTTAATTATTGTGGTGAGGTGTTGGGGTTGGGTTTGGGTTTTAGGGCTTACTTGTACCTCACAGGGTGGCGGCGCGCTCCTGTAAGATGGCACGATTTTGAAGGTCACCGATCCACGTGCTTCGCGCTGCAACAGAATCGTGGACGAAACCGTTAGCCGAAAAAACGTTCCGATCGAATTTTCTATTGGACGTTGTACCCATTTGAATATTTCATTAGAAGCCGTTAACCCTTCCGTGACCAGCGGGACTAAAGTACTGGAACTGTATGTGACATATATCAGGTTGTTCGTTTCGTGACCAATGCGATATACAGGGTGTCCCACCTAACAATGAGCACCTTTAGTATCTCACTTGTTTCTGATTCGTGAAAAATTTATTTTAATAAATGGTCAAAGTGACGTCCATCAACTTCGATACATTTTTGCATTAATCCCTCTATTGTAGTAATTTTATTATTTAAATCTACTCATATATTTGTGGATTTTTCGTACTCAAAGTCACATGAAAGTCACATTATTATATGTCATCTTCTCGAAAGATTCTATAAGAAGTAAGTTTTAACAATAGTTTCAATAAGAAATATTTGTTGTAAAAAATTGTTTCTTCGAAAACCCATTTCCCTATTCACAATACCCAGGATTCAGTGGGACAAATACGTCCCACGTAATATATTTAAAAAAATACGAAAGCTTGAGAGGAAACAAAAAATTATCCGAATACTGTATCCATCAGATACACGATGATAGGTAAATAAGTAAGCAATTGTTATGAAAATAATCGAATCTGGTCACGAAAGGGTGAAACAGTACGTAGGCTAGGCACGTATATTCAAAATTTCACGTGTGTAATTAAATATCGTATTTAATCATCGTAAAATTAAATTCACTTACGAGTATTTTTTGCAACGCATTGACAGATTGATTGGCCACAGGTATCCCGTTAATTTCTCGGATTTCGTCACCGACGTGCAGTGTCGCTTGTCGGTGTATCATGCCACCGTGCATTATTCGTGCTACCACGCATTTGCCGTCTTCGTTCATTTTTAGAGTGATTCCCTGCGAACAAGCGTTACCACTTTTACATCCTCGCTGAACCGATAACTGTCGAATTATAGCACTTTCACGACGTGCTTTTATAGAGTATAATAACTGCGAACGAGCTAAGAAACATCTTAAAAATATAATTACATATAAAACCGACAATAAGAAATGTGTTGAAATCGAAATCACTTATTTGTATAACGATAACAGGAATTTCACTTTACATTTAATAGGGGAAACCGCGAACGCTGACACAGGGATTGGAATAAAACTTCGTGGGTTTATAGAGTGATTCAAGACAAGAGTCTTTTTTGACACACCTGTAATTGTGTGAAACCTAACCCGCAAAGTCAAATATGCATTCGTATTTTTTCGCGTATAACTCTTACAGTACAAGAGATAGCAAAAAAATGTTTCAAACCAAACTTTTAATGGTACAATAAGAGCTGTAAACTTCCATTAACAAAATGTGGAAAAATGCTTTTTTTCTAAAAAATAAATTTTTGAAGTGCTAAGAATTTAAGTGATAATAATTTGCTTAATGAATAATTTGATATGTATGTACCAAAAAATCTAGATTTCGTTATAACTAATTTTATTGGCAAATATTCCATTTATCTTACCATTGGCTCATCGGTATTCTTCTGGAACTGGACCAGCCTGACGCGCGTCACATTCTCGAGGTCCAGATCACCGTTCTGCCCCTCGAGGTCATCGCCTCCGTTTAGATAGGGAAGAAGGGGCGGCGGCGTTACCCTGGTGGCTTCTTCGCCGTAAACTTCGTGTCCAGCTACGTCGTGCGCCTGCAAAAGCGCCTGTAACAAAAAACGACAACGTTGGGAATTTAATACCATGGTGTGAACTTACACAAAAATTACGTATTATATAAAATAGTTCTTAAAATAAAACCGTTTTGTTCTATGTAAACCGTTTTCTTGAAAATATGCAGACTTCACCAGTGAATGAACGATATTAAATAAAAGAACATTCCCAAACAGTGCCGCGAAAATTGTTCGAATACGAGACGAGGAATTCACAGAAATCCACATTTAATCGTTCGCATATTCTAATAATTTAATTTATTCGTTTTTATATATAATATTCATTTAATGGTGCATCCGCTATTTAATATTAAATGTTCATCGTTGTGGTATTTCGATAATGTTGGAAACAGAAATTAATTCTTTCTTCGTAACAGTCGCTAAATCTGATTAAATCAACTATGTTATTAAAGTTTATCAATAAATAAAATTTGTCTTATACAAAAATATCCATTTCCTATGTAGTATTTGAATAGCCCAGGTATACGTTCGTATAATCTCAAGCAGTGTCACGTTTCGTAATCGGTGTTCATCTCTCAGTTTCTCAAGTTTCGCGAGTCCCTCAATTCTTCGAGCAAACATTGGTAATGGCACATTTCATCAAAGTGCTTCCTTGATTGCGACATATAGCCGGGGCCCTCTGCCGCTAGAAACAAGCTATTTGCACAGGACGTTCGAATTTGTGGTTGAATCTTGGCCTTGGTGTTCCAAGTTCCAACTCCTGCCTAGACACGTATCAAACCGCAAACTTCCGCGAACTACTTCAATTATACAGACGAATTCACGCGGTGTTTGATGTACTTCATCGCCAGCCCCTATAATACCCCATTAAAAATGTCAGATAGGCTTCGAACAGCAGTAGGACATACCTGGGCACTTCTGACATGATATTATTCGAAATATTATTTCATGCAATATGTTATTTTTTTTCTTCTAATTATTGGTAATCATTCTTAGAAATTATTGTAGAATTCATCTTCCAAATTATATCAGGTGATTAGGTCTGAGTTTGGTTTATCGATATTTTTCTGAAGAGTAACATCCCTCTTCCATCTTCTACACCAGTGGAACGATTATTATTTTCTTTCGTGACAATATTAGATGAACTAAAGCAATAATCTCTTACGGATGAGCTTTTTGAAGAGGGAGTTCTGCTTAAAGCAAATTGCTGTAAAGATTTCTTGAAATAAAATCTTTTCGTTGCGTATTATTTTGAGTATTATTTCTTTTGTAAAATTTGACATATAGAAATAACGAAATAATTTATTATTTGAAATTGCTATTATTTCAAATGAATTGATAATATTTTCATTTTTAAATAATAGTATTGAAAATAAAATTTGCCTAGTTCTGGTACAGTAGAAGAAGCATACATACGAAAATCTGTAATAAATATGCGTGTAAAGAATAGTTAACTTTTATATATTATAATATTATAGTTTTCGCTGATATTATAGAAGTTATATAATTATATGTCTATTGATAATTAGTGTGTCCATTGTTCTATGATCGATTTGTGGGTCAAGATAATTTTGTCTTGAAATATCTGCCAATCGCACGTGAGACCATGACAGTGAATATCGACCGCAAGATTAATTTATCAGTCATTTTAAAACCAGACCATGTAGATATATCATACGTGTGGCAAAACATATTTGTAGAATAGAAATAAAATTTTTACTGTCATGAACAGCTCATGTCAATTTCGTGGGTTCACGTTTACAGATCTGAACGTGTTAATCTTAAATTTCGTTCCATATCGACGAATTCCAGCCTGTTATTACAGAAAAACTAAACTGTCGATATGTTCATTAATTAAAGTTGCGATTGAGAGTCGATATCTTCTGGGCTACCATTCAAAAGTTTTGAATCTCTTACAATAAGCCCATGTTTTATCCTTAATTTGGTACTAACAAAAGTGCAAAAATAATAATAATTAAATTATACTTTAAATTTTAAAATAAGAAATGCGAAGGGAGCAATTCCTGATCACCTCATAAACCATGTATCTGTATCTTACTTTAAGGTATCAAATTTTACGTACGAATTTCAAAACAGTTAATAATTACCTAATAATTTTTTGGAAAAAAATTGTATCATAGTGAACTTATCATATGGTGTCTATATGTATACTAAAATGATCTGGAATTGGGTTCTGATCAGGAACTAGGACCGTAACGGATTAATCGACAAATATCAAAGGCGGTAAAGAAGAGGAAACGACCGGCGTTCTTCCGTCGATTTCTCTGGCTTGGTCGTCGACACGTACAGTGGCTTGTAAGCCCTTTTCAAGCCCTCCCCCCTAATGACGGAAAAGTCACGTCGGTTGACTCGACAACGGAAGACGAACCGGTAGAAAAGTGGCGACTGTTCGTGTTGCGGTGACACACGATACGGCATGTCGCGTGGAACCCGTTGCAAAGTGTCGGAATAATTCGTTGGAACGGTGCCAGTGTCTGAAGAGCGTTGTTGATGCTGAAACGATCGTTTCAATTCCTGCCGTGGTTGCGGGTCGAGTGTTTCAGACTCGGGGATAAATTATTTGAAATAGAAAAAAATACTACGATAAAGATACGCGAACGTAGTGACGGTGATATTAATTCCTACAGACTCAAATTCATTTCAGTGGCCTGAAGATTTTTCCCCTGTTGTCTACAGAGAAGATAAATTTTATTCGATATTTTCAACTAGAATCACCCCTTATCTGCTTGTATCACAAGTTACATGACACCCTGTATATCATATTTATAATTAAATTTTAAAATATTCCGGGTCCTCCAACATATTTCTTACACCCTATATAAAATTTCGTTATTTTAATTTCCCATAAACGGGGTCAGACGGTTGCATTCGACGCAGTTACAGACAAATCGTTGCAGAAAGTTCAGTATAGTTCGGTAAGAAATACAAACAGTAATTTAAGTCTCGAACAGATAAATAATTTATATATTCATTTTCGTCGTTTTAATTTACTATGAAAGGTGTTAGACGGTATCATTCGACACGCAGTTACAGACGAATCGTCGTATAAAGTTCAGTATCTATAGTATATCCATTCGATAAGAATTGCAGACAATAAGTTAGGCTGTCCTCGTCCTTTTCGGGGCCAACAATACAGGAGAGAGAGACCCTCATTGTCAGACAACAGAGATAGATGGAACAGAGGGAAATACGAGGGGTGTACGAGATACGTTCGTTCCGGTGTCTGTTACTTGAAATCGAGCCAAAATCGTCACATGGCTCGCATTGATAGCCCCGCCACGTTTCTATTTCCCGTGTCCCGCGGACGCCTAATCTATATGTAAATCCTGCTCGCGGAGGAAAGCATGTGTGAAGTGAAACACGCGAGTGAGAGAGAGGAACAGAGATCCACCGTCGGACGGGGATATCGAGGCAATTTTCTCGTGATTCTGGAGAGCAACCAATCCACGTGAAACGGGCGAGAGAAAACATGGATAAAAGCGGGACTAACAACGGGAGCTAACCTGGCCCCCCGATTGAGAAACAAATTTGTAATCTCATCTGGCAGACAAATGGGAGCCGGCGGAATATTAGATCGCTGTTGGTACGAAAAAAAAGGTGTATTCGACGATGCAAAACGTTTACTGTACTGCTAATCATGTTTATGAAATTTTAATAATAATATTATATAATAAAAAATATTATATAATAAATAATTAAAAGTTCTGTGCTACTATTTTACCGAATAAACAAACTGAATGAAAACAAATAAAATATTTGAGAATTATTAATTTCAGCTATGCTGTATCGACAGCCTCTGAGACTCTTCCATTCTATCTTGATGAATGGTTAAAAGTTAAGACCGATTGAAAATCGTTAAAATGCACCTCATACATTATCGTCCGTCTTCATTTATATCTTAGCTCTTGAAATAAGCTTCGAAGGTAAGTGATTTCTAAGGCGCGAAATTAATTATTTTTAAGTCAGACCTGGAAATTTCATTTGACAAAAAAGGCTGGCGTCGAGCTGCTGCACAGCAAGATGCACTCAACGTATAGCATCTGGAAACAGGAAAACTTCGGGGTCGGTTTCGATAGCTATCCACACTGGCATTAACGTTGTTAATTACGCGGGCTCCGTGTCGAGTGTTCATTAATTAGAGACCACCCGGCCTGTCAAAGGAGCGACGTCAATTAAGTGTTTTTCCGGGTTGAAAACCGAACGGAAGAAAGAAAATATCGAATTACGGGTCGACTCGGTCGTTCCGGATACACGTGATTCTCAGTTTTCCCTGTACGGTTTTCAGTTTTGCTCGATGAAGGGTAACAGATATTTTTTTATATTACGTTCATGGAACGAGAAGTCAATTCTTCGAGTATTTTTACTGCTTCGAGTATTTTTACTTCTTCGAATGGTCGAATTTTCTTATTGTAACCGAATAGATATTATACATTCCATGAACTAGAATTTAACTTGAAAATTAAAATAAATTGTATTTTTAAACTAGATCGTTATTTATTATCTGTAAACGTGATGGCAATCGCGAACAAAGAGAAACATATATTTCATTTTGAAATGAAACGACACTGTAAACAAATATATTTAACGACCTTCGTTCTCCGTCCTCTCATTAAAATGTTGAGAAGTTAAGCCGGGAACAATAATTAAGTTAATCGTCACCTCGATGAAATTTCATTTCCATATAGAACAAATTATTAGTGAAACTATAAATTAAAAAAATTACTATTGAAGACGTTTACTTCAATAAAATTACCGTTAGGTCACAACTGAATTTTTTAACAATTAAATTGTATAGTTGTAAATTTCAAAAGAATAGTCAATGGGCTTTCGTATTAAATTTATTAAAAAAGATTGGTGAATTATAAAAATAAAAATTTACAAGATTTAATATAGAATAAATCGCATAAGAAGTGTTATTTTAATTGATCGGAGTCAATTAAGATACATGCTATCTAATTGGAATGAAAAGTGTAAATGAAATTTAAATTTCGATTAACGCTTGGAGGTAACCC